TTTCGACCACCAGCATCCACAAACATCGCTCTACCGTCTTGTAGATCAAAACTCAAGGTGTATGAATCTGGGAACGGCCCTTAAGAAAATAACATTTTTCAGTTTGAGGGCTCAGACAGTAATCTCAGCCAACATGCAAATATTTTTTCTGTGGGTCATACTATTTTTGGTATTAAGTTACTCCACGTTTTATGTGAACTAAATATTTTTATATTGAGTAAAGCTATAACCAATTATATCCGAAGATTTGAATTTGGCGTTAAAAATGTAATTACTAAATGAAGTTACCAACAAAACTTTAGACAAAAATATAACGTTGGTGTTGATAAAACGTAAAATTCCTAGTAACCCATAAAGCTTAATAGAAGCAATGAACCAAATCAGACGATCAGATGAATAGTTTGATTTAATACTTTCCGTTTTAGTAATATGACGGAGATTTTATCGAAACTGTTATTGTTCTTTACAGGATAGTGATAATAAATCAGAAGTTCCGGTTGATTAGTGTTTTTTGAGTGCCTTTAATTAATCATTATTAGATTACACAGTAAAGTTAATTTATTCAGCTCAATATTTATTCGCCAAAGGTAGTAGATGCTGATAAATGAACATTATAACACATCGTTTCTTACGGTCAATAATGATAACTTCTTGAAATCAGTACTTAAATTACATTTGAACAAGATTGATTATACCATAAACACCTTATTTTTGGACATGAAAGGTAATAAATTGTAAATATTAACAAATGTTTGTTTAATAAAAAAAGTTTCAAGTGGATGACCAGTGTAAGTGTTATATATAACTTCATCATACAATAATACAAGTGGATGGATTGAGAAAAGGATAATCTATTGAACCGAGCTGCATACATATTTGCTAGCTACATTTTGATGATACTAACATGTAACTTAACAAACATTATACCCTTGTTTTTAAGAAAATACTTATTAATGATTTCTGAGTTCTAAACAACATCTAACATTCCAAAACGTTTATAAAATTATAGTTAGGTTACTTTTTTTTGGTGCATATATATTATTCTTGCATTGCCTAATAAGACAACTACTCTGTACTTATAAAACTAATGACTATTACTTTGTGTACTCTGACAACAATGCTGTGGCTAATCTGTAATTAAAAGTTTATTAATCATAAAACTTTATTTACAGTGAACTTATTTCTTAAAATATTTTTATTCATATAAGTTAGTCCTCATTCTACAATCATTTTCAGAACATATATATATATGTATATTTCATAGTTGAAATCATGAGTCAATTGAAGCTAGATCATCATGGAAAACCTGGAAGCACTGGATGACCGTTTCATCCTATTATGGGACTCCTCAGCAGTGCGCATCCACGATCCCGCTTCGCGAGATTCGAACCCAGGATCTACCAGTCTCGCGCCAGAGCATATATATATAATGTTCATAAGAAAAATTATCTTGATTTTAATTCTAATTATATTGAAATCAATTTTCTTTTATTAAAAATGTTTTTGTTATACCTCAATGAGTAGAAAAATTACAATCCTGGCATTTCGTCACTTAATGTAAGCCACTTCCTCAGAGTAAATAAACAGCCGTAATAAATGAACACAAGTTTAAATAGTGCAAAGGAAACAAGGAAGAATATTTTTAGTATAATCACAATCATAATAGTTCTAAATATGTCAATGTCCAATTATTCATGGTCAAGGTGAATTTGTATGACCTGTCACATTTTTTGAATTCGTGTGTCAGAAGGTGGGTATGAAAAATGGAAAATGTATGCATTTGTAATGCAAAGTAGTGGGGTTGAGATTGATTGTGTATAAGTTTGTAGATTGTGTGGAAAATAAATATAGTCTTATGTAATTGTTTGGATAAACAGTCCACGCTGTATGAATATTCAGGCCTTCTTTCCTATTGAGGACAGAGCGATTTAATGTTATGTGAAACGCTTCAGCTACTCGCCTTTCTATAGTTGGAAAAACCTTTTTTGAGTTATTTTAATGCTTTTAATATCAATTCGGTGATGAATGAAAATAGCATGTACTGTTATTGCTTATTTAACCTGTAATTTTTTCAATTCTAGAGGATTATTGGGTCTTTTTGTTTAACTTAAGTGTTATTTGATATAAGTCGAGATCTCACAGAAAGACTCTCCAATATAGAACGCATCATAATCGACACAATCTAATTTTTACATACCTTTTTTGTGTGGAAATGAACGGGATCTTATATTTTATTTTAATTGAAGAGTTTCTTAGTGTTAGTTGTCTTATAGAAAACTTTAATTTTAGACATTTTGAACATCCATTTTATTTTAATTTCAAGAGAAATGACAAAAGAATAGAGTAGTTATTTTAAATCTATTAACATTTATATGTTGGGTTCGAATCCCGCGAGGCGGGATCGTGGATGCGCACTGCTGAGGAGTCCCATAATAAGACGAAATGGCGATCCAGCGCTTCCAGGTTTTCCATAGTGGTCTAGCTTCAATTGACTCATGGTTTCAACTATGAAAATACCGAAATCTTCACAAAATCCCCTTCTGTTCACATTTATGTCTTTTTTATGAGTTAATATTTTGTTAAATTAATCTACATGATGAATTGGATATAAACAGGAAAACTTAAAGCAAATGTTTTCTTTTTTAGTGTTTGATAGAAAACACTTCATAGAAATAATATTTAAATGATAAATGTTTTAACAGGTAAACAGTTAGAATGTTAGATTTATAAGAAAGAAAACAACATAATAATTATGAGATAATATATGAATGAATTTGTTTGACTGGTAGGTCATGGGTTCGGATCTCGCGAGTGCGGGATCGTGGATGCGCACTGCTGAGGATTCCCATAATAGGACGAAAGGGCCGTCCAATGCTTCCAGGTTTTCGATGGTGGTCTAGCTTCAATTGACTCATGATCTCAACTCCATAAAAATATATTGTTGGATGATACTCAAGTAATTTTAAGTAATTAGTCACTTTTATAAATCTTGATAGAATAATCAAAAAAGAGAGTTAATCTGAATAATGTAATGTATTCGCCGTCTACATTTCGAACAATCTGGTCATAGATATACTTGTCAACATAATTAAATGTAGAAACCAATAAAAGTCAATTAAATAAAATTTCTAAGAAACATAGGATGATAATTGTACATAAAGGAGATGAATAAGAGATTGTCATACCATCATAATTTCATACATATAAATCAATGGATAAGTACGTGTGACCAGATTGTCCGAAATGTATAAGGCATGTACATCACAAATCTCAGATCAATGCCCTCTTCTCATTGTTTGATCAAAATATTCAAAAAACTTTAGTTATATTTTTTGTATATTTTCCAAAATACACAGATTAAGAAAAAATCATAAAGAAAACAATTGCAAAATAATCACATTTAACTTCAAGGCTGAATAATCTATACCAAAAAGCGTGTCCAGTTTATAAATATGAGAATGAAAACGCATGAAAAGTCTCTCTATCCGATTTATTAAACGGCAGAAATGGATCAAATTGGTAAACGCTATCTAGGATAATCTTGATTTCCACCTATAATGATAATGAGTTATCCTCAATGAGATGTGATTTTATAAAATCTTAAATATATTTACAAGGTAAAAGGGATTGATCATGTTTACTAATATCATTTATTTACTAGAGACGTTCTGCTTGAATAGTTAATTCACTATCACGGACTCTAAGATTTCTATACTTGTTAGTAGAAATTCATCCCAGAGTAGAAAGGGGATCGTTACTATACATCTTTACGTATGTTTTCAAGGCAATGTTGAAGGATAGAGGAGGAAAATGACTGTATTTAACGTAGGTGACAATTTCAACTGACACATATATATGTAGTAGACACTGAAAAGAATTCAGAAGTATTTTTAAAATTGGAGAGCAGTTTTTAGCAAAATACTCGTGAATGAAAGATATTAACCGCCAACAGTTATATAAACTATTGATCATATTTGTGTTAATGCCTGGTAAATAAGTTATTTATCACGCAGTAAAGTTTGTTGTAATTGCATATTAAACCTACCAGTTAGATTTAGTTTCATTTTGTCGAAATACTGTCTACCTAAGTTTAAGTTTAGCTATCTGATTTCAATCTAACACTAAAAAATCAATAAAACTATTAGTAGTTCAGGAGACTTTTATCAAACTAGTTCTACAAATTTACTTCAAAAAGTATCGACTAATGGGGTGTGTGGTGTGGGCTACTTATATCCATATAAGTAGTATATGGTGATGGTCAGATATAGAATGTATTTTGGCTGAAGATCGATAAGGAAAGAACAGGAATGAAGCGCAATCGGTATGAAAATGCATGAACAATGAAATTAGAGAAGATGTACTGATATTTGCAGAAGGAACAGTGAAGATTGAGACAATTGGTTGTTAATTTGCAAATTAACTGTTTGTTGTATGATTATCAGAATTTAGTGAGATAGTCTGTAATTTGTGCTTAAATACATTTGTCCCCACCCGTGTTCTTGTTCACTACAGGGATACAAATATATATATATATATATATAATCAGATGAATGCGTCGAGAAAAATGTTACAGTTACCTGTACAATGGTAGTAGAATAGACTAAGTATAGATTATATGAATCAAGAAAAAGAATAAATTCATGAGAAAAAAACATAATTTTTAAATTCAATATCTAAAGGACGATAAATAACGAATGAGCCAGTTCCAGCCATGTCACTCCAATTATAAGTGGCGATAAATGCATTACAGTCATTATATTCAACACAAACAAAGTATCCTGTCTAGTAACACACTACAGACGCATACTAGTTTTTAAATTGTAATACTTAAGCTGATTAGTCAAGGTCATTCTAATTAAATTTTCTTGAATAAAACTAAGAATTTATTGGTAAATAAGAGTTGCTAATGAAGTGCTAATTTTTGATTAAACTATTGAATCACTAGCTCTTATAATGTTTGAGTACAATAAAAACTTGACATCAAAATTTGAAGAACTTACATTGTAACTTCCGTTGGGTTGATCTCATCAGTAGGAGGTAGACCAAGAAATGCTCCAATTTTTGAACGACATAAGTCAGCATTATTTTGAATAAATTTGGAAACTTCTTTACTAGAAGATAAGTTTAAGAAATTATGTCTTGCCAAATATTTCAGACCTCTCAATGGATTTCTGCAGAATGAAATAACATATATATAACGTGAAATTACTCTGTGAAACAGTTTGCAAAGGAGTCGCTAAATTTAGCACAAAAAACATAATTTCATCACTTTAATAATTCATTGTTTTCAACTAAACACTAACACAACTCTATCTGGGATGTATAAATGAATAAGTAACGATCAGGACTGCAGAAAAGTCAAGGTTGAAATTAGTCAAAAAACAAAGTAGCCTAAGTTCATATTATGTATGCAGAAAGAGATCATAATGAAAACCTATAAATAATACGTGTATCAAAGTTAACGCCTCTCCCTGCAGCCACAAAAATCTATGCTCTTTGGTACGACCCCTTACGTAGATATGAGTGGAAAAAATACTATAATCTTACACCAGAAGGCTTCTAGAGTAGTCAAATATTTATCAGAGACCAGTAAAACAGTTTAGCACTGATCCAATCAATCGATGGAGGGATCAAATAGTCAGGAAATAATTTAATGAAAGAACTATGAAACAGAAACAGCGTTTTAACTACTCGAATTTCAATAACTAGATAACTGGTTTTCAAACTCGTTATACTTACTTAAGAGTAGATTATCAACCTTCAATGAGTTAAACTAATCAGCCATTACTTTATAAGTAATGTGTGCTGTTTTAAATTTTATTTGAAACACAGAAGTCCCCAGAAACTCAAGTGCATATTATTGTAAACGAGGCGTATATGTCTTGGAGAAAATTTCAAACAGCTCATTTTTTCATAAAGCTAAATGACATGTTCATGACAGTACTGTTAACGAAAACGTTACTAAACATTTTTACAAAATCATCTCAAAAATATGATGGCTTATCATATGGGTGCAATATGAGTAAATCACACCAAACATTTCCTTTACTAGACGTTTTGATAGATTACTAATGGATTATATTTCGATACACAATCAAACATCTGTTCATCGATTCGGAAAACGTTTGCGTAGAAAACTGTACTATTACTCTTTACCAATCGAATAAATGAAATAATAATACGATGATTTACAGAATACATGAATTGTGGCCAGAATGGAAGTCTAAGACGCATGATTTGTCCTATTCAGGGCTCGTCAGTTAGATATACCTGCATTTCAGTGTTGATATCTTTGTTGGTGTAGGTACATCCTACGAGGAGACTGATCAGATTTCAATGTCATATATCAACAACGGAATACTAATAATAAAGTCGTGCCCAATAAACAAGTTAGTAGCTATCTTTACTCAGTATCTCAGGAAATAACGTGTTGACATCTGAAATGTAAGATATTGAGTTGGAGCTCCAGTCTGCATATCAACATTGGGATGAATGGAGTTCTAGATTTTGAATTACAAATGGGACAAAACATGCGTCATGGATCTCATTTCTAACTAAAATTTATTTATTCTTTTAAACTTGTAACAATCCTCACAGCATGAGCATATGTCAACAAACACTGATCACATTTTAGTCTTCGTTATCAGCTGAAGGCTAATTTCAATTCTTACTAATAATAATATCAATAGGATGATCGAAATAGAAGGTTCAAAATTCTAATAAATAGGAATCAACTGCACATTCAAATCAAAATTTTCTTGCTATGCATCTATAATCATTGAAAAATCAGAATTTGGTTTCCATCTGGATTGAAAATGTAATTATTAGAATACAGCCTGAGTTTGTACTAAATTATTATTATTATTATTATGAACTTACCTATTAAATAAATTTACGCCTACAGCATAAATATGTTTACGGCAATTGAAACATCTATCATGTTTAAACAATCTAATAGTAGAATTTAGAAAACAATCATGTTTAATAAAATACCAAGCATTATTCACATCATGATAACATTTAGCCATATTATCTATAAATGTGTAACTACATGGTTGTGACAAATAAAATTGCCAATTTAATGTACATGCTGTACAAATATCTTGTTGTTTAGTTGAATCATTTAAAAGTAGACAGGAATTATGTATCCTGTCATGATTATTATCATTCTTGGTAGTAGTAGTAGTATTTTCATATTGAACTTTATTAATTAAATGTTTCCCTTTTCTCTCTACTTCATCATCATCTTTTTCTTCTCTTTTGTTAGCACCACCTCCTTTGGATTTAGTTATTTGGATTGATTTTGAATAATTTTGTTCTTCAATGAGTTGAATTTTGTCCTTAATCATTGATTGTAATGTATTTGATTTACGTTTCCATATAGGTGATAAAGATGAATTAGGATTTTGTTTATTCTGTTCATTTTCTCTTGGGAAATATGACTAACATATCGAAAAAAAACAGAAAAAAAATAAAATGGTCACTTATTAGTTTTACTTATCCCCATTTATTTATGTTATCGAAAATAGATTTTACAGTTCAATGTAGTTTTCATCAAAAAAGTGATATCATTAGTTAGAGCATCATTGAAAGTTAGCTATTGGATGGGAACATTTATAGGCGCGTAATTACCGTTATCATTGAGTATACTTGGTAAAGTTCCTTGTATAGTTACATATTATCACGACATGAAATAATCAAGCATATATTTGATAAAAAACTTGACAAGGTAATTTCTGTTATTTTCCCGTGCTCTGTGTTTTGGTTTTCCTTTATTATTAAAATTATCATGAAAAATAGAACAGAAGTCGCTCTTCGCTACATCAGGACTTGTTTTTTTCTTCCATGAAGGAAATACTGGTTTTTACCCGCTGCATCTTATACGATATTTATCCGTTCAAAACGCACATGACATTGTAATTATGCCATTTATCTAGAGTGCTTATGTTATTCTTACACTGCTTACTAAAGATAACTCTGAACTTAGAAAACTAATGACTATTACTGAAGGAGTTCACCTAACAACGCATTATTCCAGAATGTTATCACCTATAACCATGTATTGCTTCTGCTTTACACTATTAAAATGTCTGAGTCAAATGTTCAATTGAAATAAATATGAATCATACTTTTTCAACTAGTGTATCCCTGTTTTTTGGCGTTCCATTCCTTTTCGTATTGATTTGATTAAGGCATGGGAATTGGTGTGAACTTTGTAATTATTTTTCAAGTGTATATTAATAACCGTTACTATTATCAATAAACTTTTATCTTGTTCGTGTTAAATATTTTGTGGATACTACTACAATTTATACTACACTGGCATTTATGGTGATAATTTTGACTTGTTACATTGATATATTCACGGCAACATGAACTGGTACATATGTGTACAGTGTGCACATGTAACTGATTGACTGAATGAATGAAATCATAATTTAGTCTGAAATCGAATACAAATATGCTAGACCGATGACGGGCAATAAAGATTTCGTAGGTCTAGTAATGAGTAGAAATCTCTTCCTAATCAGAAATATCATTAAGCATAAAAACATATCAAATAATAATATTTGACAAGAATGATACCGACTTACTTCTCATTAGATTAAGTTACAAAAATTCTGAGAGTAAAGTATGAAAACACTAACCTGACTATCATTATGTTTATTAATCAAAAGGTCACTGAATATATACTGAGTGTATGAGGAAAACAATTCTTTTAATACAAAGACTATGCCTATCTTTAATTATTTTTATCGAATGTCTACAAAAATCTGAGCATAGTTGGCCTGTAAACCAACACTTTATTGTTGCTACTGTTATTAAGAACAACGTATTGATTACCACAGGGTAAGTTTTATCAAAGGCACCGTAAGAGGATTACAATAAAGTGGTGTGAGTACAATATAGAACCATAATGAAGTAGATTGATGCACAGGTAAAGACAATGTGTATCGCGTTTATGTACTTACCTTTAAAAGAGTTTTAGATTCGCCTGTGTGTGAATGCAGTCGGATAGTTGTTCCACGAATTCTTTCCACTGCCACTTTACTGCTTGGGCCTTTGGAGCATGTACACTTTGTAAGATCAGTTTCACAAGGTACTAAATTGGTTGCATTTAAAATACCTTGAATGTAATAAATTTATTCATTAAAGAAATTAATACAAAACAAAATATGTATTGAAAATATGATATATTTTCAAACAGAGAGCAAAATGGTATAACTTTATTGGTGATTTAAAATGACTAAATATGGGGTTGGTTGAACAATAAAGTCATTATCAATCAGTTCTGCTGTTACTCCTATGTTACTTATTTCATCTTTGATCAATTATGTTTAAATTATTGGTTAAGTGTACAGCAGAACATATGAAATTTAGGGAATCATGGAAATATTGTATCGCTATTCCTTAGTGACTTGTAGCTACCAGTAAATACGAAATAAAACCTTATTACAATGAAAATGTATCAAGTCAGTATCAAAATAATATGCGATAAATGTTAACTATTGGTAACGAAAAATGAAATAAGTTATGGACAAGTTAACTCACTCAACAAGTACTTCGGGATCAGCCGAACTCTGAGTGTATAACTCGATTGCTCGAACCGAAGTAGGTGGAGCGAGATTAGAACCTGGATCTTAGTGGCTGAATACCGAACATCATAAGCACAAGGCCACCGCTCCGTGAGGTAACATATCGCCATGTAAGCGTTTCATTGCAAAAGCGGAAAAGTATTTACACAATTTCTAAATCATAGGAGTTTTTAACTTACTATCAGCCAATATAGCATTGTGCACGTCATCAACACATCGACCGTACAGTACTGTTCAGGTTGACAGTTATAACAGATTTTTGATTTAGTAAACACAATTAAAATTAAGCGTTCTTCAGCTTACTATATTCAACTAATAACGATGAACTTTATGCGGGAAAACAAACTAATTATCTCGAGGTCTTGATAAAACTACTTCAGAGAATATTGGGAATGGTAATACAGAAATTCTGAGGTTACTTGAGTGATTCGCGCTTTTATTAATATGAGTCAATAGGATTAGGGTAGCATTTTCCTACTGCCTGAACTACCCTGAGAAACTTCTGAACTTTATAGCTAATGGATATTACACCTATATCATTATTGTGCGGCATTTGATGGAATAAAGATAAATATGTGTATGATGCAGTAGTTGCTAAAACAACTCAGACATTTATTTCCAACTTCCTTTACTGGCATTTCTCTGGTCAGTTGACCCTCGACAAATCAATTCGTGAAAATTTAATGGTTTTTTAATAGCTAACCAGAGTTTGATTTAATCAAATACCCATCGGTTGACGAAAATTCACCAAAATCATTTCATATATGATGCGAATGTTCAGAATATACTAAAAGGAGTGTTTTTCAAACAAAGATATTATTGAAGATTAAAAAGTAAGTAAAACCCACTTCATTTTTTATTAAACGAAATATGATGTCTTACTATTTCCATTTCTTTGTGTAAGTGCAACCATAACTTGTGATTGAGGAGCGTGACATGGAACTGGTGGAGGTGTAGGAGAGAGACTATTTTTACATTCAGGAACCAATTTTTTATGAGGGAGCACAAGGGAATTAGGGGAATAATTTACAGAATTGCTTGAATGTGAACTTAACCCAGAATCTCTCGCAGATGCACCGGTTTGCCCAAAATGTAGAGAGGTTAAGTAATGCTCATTAGATTCGCCAGGAGATGCCACTGAGCGTTTATCCGGTGGAATATATTCCGTCTCGTTAACAATCACAGCTGTATAAGAAAGACTACTGGTACCGCTACTGCCGCTTATTTCTAAATCACGATCAAGATGGATTGCAGGAAGAGATTTTCTAGAAGTGTTCAAAAATGTTTTTGATAATTTTGATCCAGAGAAATCGAGCTCATTGTTGAAATCATGTAAAATTTTATTTGTCGCAATTATTCTGTTCTTATTTAATGATTCTGGATGCAAAGCTTGCGTATGAAGTCGATTTACATTTATGAGAGCCATCGCCGGAGGGACTGAGTCGGAATCATCGCTATAGCAAACCGACGAACTCGATTTGAACGACTGATTTTCCTTGCGCTTGAGTTTGTTACCCTTAAAGAGTGAAAAAAAACAAAGACAATGGAACATTTCAATGGTGTGAATTACAATTTGCAAGATCGATTCATTCGTCAAGGTGAACGGAAACTTTGTATTATAATGATTAGTAACTGTAACACAACTTTTAATTTTCATGTCTGGTTTTTTCTCAGTATATAAAGACGCAGTAATCGTAACTGTTTATCATTAAATTGCGTGCTTTCTTTCTTTTAGTAGGATCTCTTGTTTAAAATACTTGCATACTTAACCTACCAACTTATGTAAAACCTTCGTACCAAATAACATTACTTATTGTAATTATATGCCGTTTGTATCTCATGAGAATTCTTGAAAGAGTATGAATTCATTTAATCTCATCAATCTTGTTTCTTATAAGGTTATAAATGGAACCAGATATAAGAAGTAATTCAGTTCAAACAAGTTGATGATTATTTGTAATACTTATCACTACTTTCATTTTATTCCGATTTCGATTATAAAATACTTTCATACAGCTCGTCTTTCCGTTTTATATTTTACTTGAAGTCTAGATCTTAAAACGGTCTAGAGAACATTTTATTGTCTGGACGTTAAAGCTAAGACACCTGGTCAGATGAATACTAATGAGGTACGACGAATGTAAAAAATATTATCAACACTTTTTATATACTATCCAATGCTTACATGCTGGAAGTCCTTTGGGGTGACATTCAAATCGTCTTTTTCTTCGGAATATACACTGAATCGGAGTTTGTCATCAGAAGAAGAACAAGGAACACAACCAGGACACATTTTGTTAGATAGTTTGTTTAATTTTAAATAATTGATTACGGAATGAGACGGATGAAAAGAATGCTCTGATTTGCAGTTTTTTTCTTCAGATCGACTACGTAGTCTAGACGTAACATAAAGATCACGCGAATAAGATGTGCTCTCTGAAGTAGTGGAAAAGGAACTTGGAGTACTTGTGTAGCATTTGCATTGATCCAATATAGAGTCTGGGTTTTCCAAAGATTCGTCACACCATAGGCTAGTTGGATCCCCAGTCCTGTTATACTGACCAAATAAACTGGCTTGGATAACACTGGAGTCCACAGAGTGTGAAGTGGAATTCATAGCATCTTTATGTTCTAAGACTAAGAATAATTAATGGCAAACATCTAGAACAGAAAAAATAAATTCGAACGTTCAGAAGACATTCAGGGTGTTAAAAAAATCGACTGACCAGAGATGTCTGCACAATTCATATAGGTGGCTTGTTACTATTAAAAATCATATGGATGGTATTACAATAACTGCATATCTAAGTCCCAAGATGAACATTAGTTTACATTCAAGTTGTTCAGCCGAAAACCATCCTATTTCAAATATGATCACAAAGTGCCTTGATAAGTCTCTGAACTTTACATGCACTTCTGTCATGTAGGCCATTACTAAGAAAATGATAAGTCACATAGTTAACAATTAAGCTTTCCCTGATATGTTGACTTTAACCTATCCGAATAACCAGGGTCAACCAGTACCATTATAAGCTATGAAAACTAGTGAAAAAAATTGTTTTTTACACAGAACAAGTTAATTACCATTCAACTGGATACCCGGATAATTTTTTTGTGACTGATTGTCCCAAAATGTCCAAATCATTAGGGTATTTCATGTAATTTTACTATCCTCATGATTACCCTTAGCTTAGTGCTTGACTGTTGCTTCTGGTCTGATTCGAACTGTTTTTTTTAAAATTATTACCATTTTCCACAAAACGCTCGATCGAAGATTAGTCTAGTCCCGACAACTGTAAATCGATGATTCAAGTTTACCATATTCGTACAACAACCAATAATAATTTGCCGACTAAGCGCATCGTGGCCCACTTAGTGAAATAGGTGCAATATACAGCTATATGTGAGACAACCAACGCATTATTTACATTTGTAATTTACTACTTTGAAATTTTCTCTGACAATTTCATACAGCTATGCTGGCTTAGTATGTCAAATTGAACTGATGTACATACGTACCAGGTTCTAAGTCACGTTTAACTGACTGAACAAGTCAAATTTTCGACATTTCTACCGAAAAAATAATAGAACTAACGTGAGGTTAGAGGTCATCAGTATGACGATTGCAAAAATCTATACACTTCTTAATAAACTAGTATCGTCATGATAATCACTGCCATGGTAGATTATTTCTATAATTACACTCTTGTTTTAATCCCTATATGAACTTATTTATCTCGTTTTCTTTATGATAATAGTTTCTAGACCTTTTTACCATTTGATGGAGTGTTGTTTCTTCAGAGGATTTACCAGTCTGTCAAGTTCTAGCGAACCCAGTTTACCTGTTAAGAGATTCAAATGGTTCAAATGGTTGAGGACGGAATAGAAGAAGCTTTCGCTTAACGGGCTTCCGTGTCTGGTAGCAGTGGATCACCAATACCTCCAGGCAAGAACCTCTAAGACGCCTGTACTCTGACGGGTAAAGGTTAAGTGATTTATCGACTGGAAGGTCATAATGTTTGTGTTGGCAAATACTAGACTAAAAGTGAAGAAATCTTTAACCTCTGTTTCATAGTTAATGGCTTTCTAGATCTATACTTGTATGAAGTGAAACCATGCTTCGTTAATGGATAAATTAATTACCATTCTCACGACTAATTTTTTTTTAAAAAACAGACATTTGATCATAAAGTAAAACCACGAAAACAGTGGGTTCAAAGGAGAAGCATGTATTACATGTGTGCTATCCGGAAGAAAAGTCATGGTAATCCAGTAGAGCGACAACTTAAAAGTTTTTGAAATGGGACGCCCTGATTTCGGTGTTCAATGTTTTATGATTCGGAAAGCCAACCGAGCAACTTATTTTACATAAGTGTCTCAATGTAATGCAAAAGTCTAAGATGTATGCTAAGACACAGTGAAGCGTATCTAGCTACTTGCTTTCAATGGTCGTCGAATATTTTGAGAAAGGTTTGAAATTGGTAATAATGGTGTCATGGAAAACTCAGATTGATGGGACGCTGCTGTTCAGTATTCCTCACTGTAAAAAACACTCAATAGAGAGGAAGTAATAACGTTTGTCGAAAATCAAATTACTTCTCTTTTCATGATTCACACAGTTCTCGAAATGATATGTAGCAGTCTACGTGTACTTAGTTGTCCAACTTACTCTTACTAGTACATTTCGGACACTCAACAATCACTGAAAGAGATTTCGAAGGCTCTGAAACGGGAAAAACCGTATCCGTTACAGTGTATCCATACAAACGTTGATAATTCTGAGATTGTTTTCTCTCGTATTAGATAAGTTTATTTACGTGATAGGCAATTCACGGGTTAGTCACTGTCCTACAGTCACTATATTACTCATAAAGCTTTCTGCTATCACGGTTAATTCAGGGCTTAGCACAGGGCTCCTCCTTTTCAATAAACAGTTACTCTTATAATTTAGAACTACTGCTGCAGAAATGTTTGGTTTCGACAATATGAAAGGGAGTCTTGCTTATAGTCATAAATAAATCCCTGGAATAAATAGTCATTTCAGTGTTCGAAATTGATGTGGATCTCAATAATTTGATTGAACACACCCTAAGTAAAGGCTTTCAGTCACTTATCCGCTTCAAATCACGAGTGTGTATTCCGTGCTACTCATCCCTTACAACTACTAGTCAGCTTAGATCAAATGCTTCTTAACATATCGACAATCTTCCGAATACGCCTTCGAACTCATTCATAATGGCTTCTGATCTGAATGGTATGGCATCATTTGGTTATAAAAGTGTTAATGGCAAAAATGTTCCTTAACTCAGAATATCTGTGGCATTTTCAGTGATTACCTTATGTGATTTGGTACATTGAACGATTATACTACCAATCTGTTCCTTGTTAAAACACAATATAATCAGAAGGGGATTTGTGGAGATTTCAGTATATTTCAAGGTTGAAATCATGAGTCAATTGAAGCTAGACCACCATCGAAAACCTGGAAGAACTGGACGGCCGTTTCGTCCTATTGTGGGACTCCTCAACAGTGCGCATCCACGAACTCGCTCTCGTGAGCGAGATTCGAACCCAGGACATACCAGTTACGAGCCAGAGCCCTCAACCGATGGATGCCAGCTCAGTGGTCTATCGGTTAAGGGCTCTGGCTCGTAACTGGTAGGTCCTGGGTTCGAATCTCGCTCGCGAGGGCGGGTTCGTGGATGCGCACTGCTGAGGAGTTCCATAATAGGACGAAATGGCCGTCCAGTGCTTCTAGGTTTTCGATGGTGGTCTAGCTTCAATTGACTCATGATTTCAACTTTGAAAAAACACAATATATCATTTTTTTATTGTGCATATCGTGAAACTATTATTTTTGCCCTTATATTTCTTCGCCTATTTACACATTTTGTCCACATAACGACGAAATAGACACCCAAAATTTTAAATATCAGGACTGTTACTCCTCCAAAATTTCACCTCAAGGCCATTCTGGCCTGAAACCTGGTTTTGGTGGGCAGAAGTTGACTGGTAATTTCACAGCTCGATAGACACACGTTCGTAATATCTCTCAGTAGAGTAGGCACTGCCGGGTAACTTCAACGGGTACGTTACACCTTATATGTTTACTGGTGACGTTTTCGGACCCTACGATACCCTCAAAACGGCTATCCTTAAAGGAGGAAATGTGACCGATCGACAAGGGTAAAACCAGCTCTTCAGCAACATCGAATTGGACCATGCCTCGAAAACATAAGAGTTGCTACGTACGCGAACTTTCTATATCAGCCTTTTTGGACAACTGTTCTTATCTAAGCCGCCCTAATAGGTGCCGTCGTTTCTCATCTCATTTCGAAATTATGTTGTCGACGAACTGATTGTATCTATCGGGTTGATTCTGGAGATCATCAGAACACACAGCACCAAGGTTTATTCTGTCAAAGATAATTTTCAAATGATGCAAAATAACATCGGAAACTTCTATGAACGCTCGATATTTTATTAATCGTCATAATCACGGATATTCTGAAATTACTCGAAGAAGCTTATCATGAAAATTGATCCATTTTAGACCATAAGAGACAGATAACTCTGAATAATGTCGATATCGGAACACCGATTGCGAGTCTTCTAGAAACTAGACGAAACCATATAGTTCCTCAAACTTCTAATCTTTCATCACAACAAATCATATAAGGAAATTTCTTCTATTAACATGCGTTTGTAGTGACACTGGAACGTAACCACATCATCTTTAAAGCCGAGCACGTAATTACTGAAAAGATTTATACTCATCAATTGGTACGAAGACAAGGTTGACGAAGAAGAACACGAAAAATACTCAATTCAATAAATTGGGTGAAATAGCTCGTCCTCACAGACGTGATCATTTTTTATAACTTATCTTTACTCACATTTAATATATTACTCTATCTTTAGCCTGAGTGTGTGATCAGGGATTTCAGATGAGAGAATGTAATAATAAAGAACAATGATATATGATACTTATCGAGTTGGAGTAAGCTCAAACGAAGGGAGGGAAGTCAAGGTTGGAGGCTGTTTATTGGAACAGAGTGTGTATATAGAGAGTAAAGTTTTTAAAAAACTGATGACAATATCCTTCACTGTCTACTTTTTTCTTCATCCAGCGCCTGCCACACAGTTTTAGTGTAACAGTCCGACATAGCATGTTATAGGTTTTCTTAACAGGATATCTAATCCAGCATAAAATTAGAAAAATGAGTCTAAGCGTAGGAGAACAGTCTCAGTACCACAAAGTGATGGACTTGTTCTCAGCCATAAAGAGCCTGATACACACAAAATGTTCTGCCCCACAAAAATGGGTGGATTAAAGTCATCGCCCTCACCATCAATGCTTGCTGGTCAGTAACTCCAACAAAGAAAGAGACTAAATGTTACTGCTCTAATAACATCGTCTGTTAAGGAAGTTGATAGGGTTTCAAACCCTAGCTGAATTTACTACATCGTTATCGTTACAATCAGTACTTTAAAACTCGCATTTCTCGACGTTGCTTCTCAAGCCCAAGTTATGTGATCTAGCTATTTGTTCTCTCAAACATTTATAACATAAGCCTCAACGTCTTACCACTCATCTCCCTACCTGAAATGTAAAGAAATGTAAAGATTCTAAAAACCAAATTGAAAAACTTTTGTGTTGCGTTAAAATCTTGCTATAGTCTGTTATAAAAGCATGGTCAATTTGTCCATCCTAGCCTACAACCTAACCAGCAAGAGAAACAAATCCCAGCTCAGGCACCAAAGTTCATACACAAATCTAAAGTATTCAACCCAAATATATTGTTTCAGTAGTGATTATAAGAATTAGACAACAAACCTTCAGTCTCCGCGCTTCTGGACCAAAATTTCTAAAATATCAAACGAAAAACAATGTGAAACCGAAAGTGTCTGACGTCAAATTTATAAACAAAGAAATTCAAATTCGAGAAGAGAAAATATATGCAAAACACAGTGATATAAATGGTATTCGGTACAACGATTTTTTAATCAATCAAATACTGTCAATTATTCTCATACTAATGCCTTTCTTTCTTACGCAAAAATTAGTTTGTAGAGCCACTGAAATGTCACTGAGCCCTAGCCAAATCATCGGGCAGTCGGCTCACATAATGTCGAACAGCCCACCGACCCTGGTCAAGATATAGGTCAACCAACACTCATCAGTTAATTGGAGTGGTTCATTCAGCAGTGGTCGTACTCTGTTTTTTGTACCTACTCTTATTAATATTTTTCTGCAATGACGTCATTTGTGTCGTAAAGTCATCAAAAGCAACCATAATACCTAGATAGAATGAAGGGGCGATCTAGGTTAGGTACTCACTGTGGCGTGTGACTCCCATCTAGCTCGAATGGGTCTTCAATTATTCGACACAGATCACCTACGTTAGTGATCTGAATGTTTGTTTTGACATGCGATTACATTTTTACTTTTTTTCTCCAGGGCGACAGTAAAAGATGAAAAGCCAAGGAAGAATAAAATGGATCTAAGTTTTGATTGCATATTTATCACTACGTAGTACAACATAGTTCCTTATAGTAGAGGAGGACCACCAAATTCTGCTTTACATCACGAAGTCTCAGGAGTGCTGAACAACGGCGAGCCCGTTGAGTATAAAATTCTGGCTAATCACGTCTTAGGGTCATCGCTACGTCAGTAGGGGGGAGTAGGCTGTGTAAATAACCAAGTATCTAAAATAAATAACTATTTCAGTTTTCGAAATTGATGTGGATCTCAATAATTTGATTGAACACACCCTAAGTAAAGGCTTTCAGTCACTTATCCGCTTCAAATCACGAGTGTGTATTCCGTGCTACTCACCCCTTACAACTACTAGTCAGCTTAGATCAAATGCTTCTTAACATATCGACAATCTTCCGAATACGCCTTCGAACCCAAACACTGTAATGCGAAATAATACTAAATTCTCTCTAAACACCAATAAGTATTCCAGCACTCTCAATGCACAACATGCACCTACTCATAGTAGTCAAATGCATTACAACAAGCATAGTGAACTGGCAGTTCCCCCTTATCCTAACGTGAGATTATGCCAGACAAAAACCACACTTACACATGATGCCAATAAGCCATATAGCTTGAAACATGAAAGTTACAGGAATCAGCACAGCCCACACAACAGGAACACCACCCCCGGCAACAATGTCAGACAATCATGCAATAATTATTTAAAACATACAACTACCCGTAATAGGAGTAGAACACCCCACTGCACACAAGGCAACCATAATGTTGGCCTGCTTGGGGACCCACCTATCGATTTTAAATACTACCAGAGCCA